AGCGAGCCAACTTGGAAGAAGAAAAAGATCCCAAAAGGGGCAAGAAGAGGTCCCTAGAAAGGGAGTCCAGCAAAGATATTCCTGCCGAAAAGGAGGTGGTTGAGACTTCTGAGACGGAGGTTATCGTTGAGGAGGAGGCAAAAAAGGTTAAAAAGAAGAGGAAACCTGTAGTTATCGAAGATCCTTACACTCTCCTGGTTCCAAAGCCGAAGAAAACGCCGGCGACCATTGAGAAGAGTGGATCATCATCCAATGCGGCGGTTTCTGCAGGGGAAAAAGCCTCGAGAATGCGCGCAAAGTCAATCGTCGGTGGAAAGGCGAAGAAGAAGGAGAAAAGTCAGAGTCCCAAAAAGGGAGAAGTGGTGGTGGTGAAAGGTCCTGAAGAAAAGGATCGTCCTCCTGATGTGGATGAGCAAGCGTCGGCAGCTGTGAGTGCAGAGCTGGGTCAATCTTGCCAAGCGATTGAGGACGCGAAAAGAGAAGGACTGGTATCCTCAATTCAAAGGGGCGTACAGGATCCTGTTCTTGCAGTTTCGGACCTGGAGTATATTCTGCTGCAACTTCACCTCAAGATTGCCAACAATCGGAAAAAGAAGTGATTGGATGGTATGGATGAAGGGATGGTTTTTCTCTTTCTGGAGACAGGTGCGCTGGAACAGCCAATGTGCTGACAAATGTGGTGGTTACTATTAAGGGTATGGAAATCCCTGATAGTAGAAGTCAGTAGCTTTTCGCGTAGCGAAGACCACGGTTTGTGGTGAAGAAGGCCAAGGAGTCTTCGGTGATGAGAGGATCATGGTGAAAAGATTCTCTATGGTTAGTGGATTTAGCCAATGTGCTATAATTTCGTCCTGGTAGACGTTAAACCATATTGTGCATGTCAAGCAGCAGGCTACTGCCCTAATGGCAGTTTTTGGCCAAAGATCTGCATCTCCAATGTGTCCTAGGAAATCCTAGGACAGGGGGAGTGCGGAGCTGCAACTGGTATTGTAAAAAGAGTTAGTGTTGGAAGTTGAAAGGGTTAATAAACCCGGAAATCTTTTTATGGCTCAAGACTGGGCCATGTGCCTGGTAGTAAAAGGTGAGTGCCCTGTGGTTTGGGTTTGTTGTGTGGTTGATCCAGGGAAATCAAGGGCTTCTGTTGGGGTTGACTGTTCGGTTTCTCGTCCCCCTTCGGTTCCCCCCGTACCCTAAACCCCATAAACCCCAAACCCCTAAGGGATTCTATGATATTGGGTATATAATGGGGTACCCCCTAATATTCTGGGAAGTATTGAAGACTTGTCTTTTCAGAACATGCGCCTCGAGGTTTCTGGGGCCAGCGTTTAGGATTTATCAGCCCACGTGCGCCGCAATTCTAAAGCCCCCTAAGCCTGAGCTGCACAACCCCCAAACCCCAGAGCCTTTGAAACCCTACCCCAATTCCCGAAAACCCCGAATGCCACCTGAAGAACCCCATACCCTCAATGCAAAACCCCAAAACCCAAAACCCTAAACCCTAAACCCTAAACCCTAAAACCCTAAACCCTGAATCCTGAACCCTAAACCCGAAACCTACCTCAACAGTGATCAAGCCTTCGGAGGTCGCCACTGGATCCGCCAGTGACTGCTGAAAGAGTCTGGGGCCCACAGTTCTCTTGCGAGCTTTGCAGCGTGTTTGGGGCTTGCGCTTCACAATTCTGGGGTTCTGGGGTGATTGGATTCTAGGGTTCTAGGTTATCGGGCTATAGGGCTATAGGGATATCCCCTAAGCCCTAAACCCTCTCCTACCATATTATGATAAACCTTCATGGTATTCGTGGGCATAGGCCCGCTTTTTCGTGGGCATTGGCCCGTTTTTTCGGATTTTGGGCCTATGCCCACGAATTTTTGGGCCTTTGGCTCGTGGGCAAGGCGCAAAAATTCGTGGGCACAGGCCTGGGGCTTCGTGGGCACAAGCCATGCCTTGAGCCCCTAAACCTTGAGACCGAAACCCTTGAGACCCTAAACCCTTGCGACCCTAAAGCCTTGAGACCCTAAAGCCTTGAGACCCTAAAGCCCTGCGACCCTATTAGTAGTGTTGTTGAGCCATCCTAATGATAAGAAGAAACTTTGTATTTCTTAAAGTTCTTTGATCTCCGGGTGGGTGGGTATTTCTCGATGTTCTAAACGACGAGCCTATACGAGAAACTGCTCGACCAGGAGCTCTTACCAGGAGCTCTTGAACCCTAAGGAGCTCTTGAACCCTAAGCCCTCAGACCCTAAAACGTAAACCCTAAACCCTAAACTCTAAACCCTAAACCTAGGGATATAGGGTTTACGGTATCTTTGGGGGGGGGGGGGGTTAGGGCTTGAGGGTTTGGGGCCTGCAGAGCTCATTGCTGCTCAGAGGGCGGAGGGCTCTTCAGGCCCTTTGGGGGTATCGGGTTCAAGGTTTAGGGTTTAGGGCTTAGGGTTTAGGGCTTAGGGTTTAGGGTTCAGGGTTTTTCGGTTCAGGGTTCAGGGCCTGTGGTTTGGCTGAGGTTTCGTGAAGGTTCGGCAGGCGTTTGGTAATTAGTTTCATAAGTTTTGAGGTCGTAGGTATACTACTACCCCCCCTGATGGACTAAAATCCTTTGTGAAACTGTTGATGGACGAAATCCTGCATCACTTTTAGTACGCAGGTCATCTCTTTGCTTCGAAAGGGCACGTTTGTGAATGACCGAAATCCTGAATCATCCATATGCCCGCGCAACATTTGAAATTCGAGGGGCGCGGGGAGCTCGATTGCAACCGTCGCACATGTGTCACGTAGGGGCTCGCGCACGATTTTGTCCGTACACGGTCTCGGACAAGATCTCTGACTTGTGACACCAACCCTAAACCCTAAACCCTAAACCCTAAACCCTAAACCCTAAACCCTAAACCCTAAACCCTAAACCCTAACCCCAAACCCTACCCTCTAAACCCTCTAACCCCACAGCCTAGTAAACCCTCACCCAAACCATCCCGGAGCCCAGCCTTGTTGAATGACTCACCTTCAGATTACGGACCTCGTATGTGATCCTTTCAGGTGTACTTCTCAAACAAGTAGCATGTCTTGGGCCCTTAACCCTAAACCCTAAACCCTAAACCCTAAACCCTAAACCCTAAACCCTAAACCCTAAACCCTAAACCCTAAACCCTAAACCCTAAAGCCTAAAGCCTAAAGCCTATTCCTTGAGTATGGGCTTTTGGCCACAAAGGATCCTAACTAAGACGCAGGCCGAAGAGATCGTGTACGCCATGGAGGCGGAGTTGCAGGCAGGATTTTTGGGCTTGAGGAGTCACTTAGGGGGTTTATGGTTTTTAGATGTTTTTAGGGTTTAGGGTTTGGGGTTTAGGGTTTGGGGTTTAGGGTTTAGGGTTTGGGGTTTAGGGTTCAGGTCTAGGCTGCAGGGTTTGGAGTAGATGCTTGCTTTAGGCTCAGGGGTTCAGGATCCCGCAACCTTCTGCCCCAAAACCCAAGAGCCGAAAGTTTGAGCTTTGTGAGCCTCCGGGTGTTCCAGAGGCTTGCCCCTAAACCTTACACCTCAAACCCTATAAGCTTTTAAACCGTAATTTCCTACACCCTAAACCCTAAACCCTAAACCCTAAACCCTAAACCCTAAACCCTAAACCCTAGACCCTAATGGCTTTGCACCCCGGGTTCCCTGTTGAAAGCCGAGCACTGCGCCCTGAACCTCCAAACCGAAGCAAGCCTGCCCTAAACCCTAAACCCTAAACCCTAAACCCTAAACCCTAAACTCTAAACCCTAAACTCTAAACGTGTGGTTCCATGTCATGATGGAGTACGTCTTAAGATCTGACGGGCTGATTCAGGAGTTGAGTGGCTTCAGGTCGAACGCCGCTTGAAAGCCTGCAAAACCTCAACCCTTAACTCAGCCTGCATCTGAACCTGCAACCCCACTCCTTGACCAGTTTGTCAGGCGGTTGGGTTCCTGCTTGGGATGTTCACCCTTTTACTAACAGTTCTTAATAGGGATTATAGTACCCTCCCCCCCCCCCCCTCCCCCATTTGATCTGTATTAGGGACTGTTCCCTAAACCCTAAACCCTAAACCCTAAACCACAAACCCTAAACCCTAAACCCTGTTAGTATAAGGAAAATTTAAGAGCCTCCGGCTCAAGCCGCCGACCCCGCTGGAGCATAGTTGAGAGGTCTAAACTCGCTCGCATGGTTCGAAGATCATGCGAGCCTGCTCGGCAGAGTTCTGTGAAACGTTTGGGGGGGGGGTAGCGGGTAGCACCAGGACGGTCCACCAAAAAATTGTGCACCGACCCCCCAATTTTGGGGGGCTAAGGAGGGAAAGAGGAAGGTTTTCACCTCCTCAAACCCATCCAACACGCCGCCAGGGTCGGCGGATAGCATCCCAAAGCCCTGCACCGCAGACGTTGGGAGGGCAACGCCGTGTCTGCGAAATCCGGACAGGCTCGGCCGTCTCCGGTGATCGACATTTCACTTCCCACCGCTCCCTGCCTGGCTCTGTTTTGGGAGTGTTAAGGTTTGGGATGTTTAGGGTTTAGGGTTTAGGGTTTAGGATGTTTAGGGTTTAGGGTGTCTCAGCTAAACGCTGCGACGTTGGGGGTGGTTGTTCCAAATAGACCCCTCTTTCAGAGGGAAGCTTTGAGAAACCTGACGGGAGTGGAGTGGTTTTCCTAGGGCCCCAGGGTAGTTTCCCCAAAATCCTTATATGTCCCAAATCAGAATACACTCTGAACCGCAAACCCTAACTCCTAAGCAGTCCCTTTACAAGCTACCCCTTTACAGTTCTCCAAGAGTGGCCCTGACGTTTAAACTGTTAAGTGAAGAAGCAAGTAGTTTAAGTAAGTGAAGTAAGTCAAGTAAGTTCTCCAAGAGGCGCATACCGTGATTCTTTAAAGAGGTGGTTCTTTGCTGCAGAAACCTCGAGCACGGGAATCTGATGACTCCTTGAGAGAAAACCTAGTATTCTGGATATTTCCAGAGTTCTTCTTGCTTGAATTGTCGATGATCTTGCTAACATGCCTCCCTGCCCCGAACAGTTGTGGATGTGCAGCCATCACCTCAGACGGGCTCCGATGGGCTCATTGAGCCAAGCCATTGAGTAACTGAAGTAAGTTAAGTAGGATGTCAGTTAAGTCAGTCAAGTTGAGTAAGTTAAGTTAGTTTTCGTACTAAGTAGTACGTCGTAGCGTTGGTAGTAGTGGTGGTGGTGCTGGTGCCGGTGCTGGCGCTGGCGCTGGCGCTGGTGCTGGTGGTGGCAGTGGTAGTGAGAAGTGCAGTAGTCGGAGTAGGAGTAGCAGTCGTTCTATAGTTGTTTCACATTTCTTCACTTGTGATCATGGTTGTTATCCTTATGGTCGTGCCTTTCCAAGGAGGGATCTGACCCCCGGCTGGTCGTGGTGGGCGACACGCATGGCCAGCTCCAGGCAGGTTGCTTGGGTGCCCCCTATGTCCCAAATGCATCGGCCAGAAAGCTGACATACCCTACCCTAAGCCCCAAACCCCAAGTAGGTTTAGGGAGATTCTCCCTAAACCTTAAACCCTGAACCCTTAACCCTAAACCCTAAACCCTAAACCCTAAACCCTAAACCAAGGTTTCGATTCAGGGTTCAGACATCGGGCCCCCCAAACAATCAACCCTTTATCTGCTTCCCGGAGGATGTCCTTCACATCCTCGAGGAGAACGGCCCGCCGTCCGAAGAGGCCGACGAGAGGTTTAGGGTTGGGGTCTTCATACTGTTACTACCAGTCCTTGATAGGGATTCGAGTACCCCCTATGGTAATTTCCTTTAAGGACTGTTCGTATAAGGGTGAACATCCCAAGGTTTAGGGCATAAGGTCTTTAGGCTCTTGAGTTTCAGGCTTGAGGTCCGGGGTTGAGGGCTTTTGCGGTTTGATTAGTACGTTGAGGGAGTTGCGCCTTTGTACCTGTAGGTCAAACGCAGTTGCAGTCGCCCCCCCCCCCCCTCCCAAAAAGCACACACCCCACACACACACACACACACACACACGCGCACACACACACACACACACACAGACACACACACAGACACACACACAGACACACACACAGACACACACACAGACACACACACAGACACACACACAGACACACACACACAGACACACACACAGACACACACACAGACACACACACAGACACACACACAGACACACACACACACACACACACACACACACACACACACACACACACAGACACACCACACAGACACACACACACACAGACACACACACAGACACACACACAGACACACACACAGACACACACACAGACACACACACACACACACACACACACACACACACACACACACACAACTGTGTCCCACACCCTGTCACACAGGCACAGTTTAAGCCTCAACCCTTTTCAGGCCACTCCCTAAAGCCTTTGTTTTTGCGCATGACCCGGGAGAATAGTCACAAGATGCCTGGACATGCTTTGGACTTTCAAAGGTTGGCCGGACGAAATTGTGGAAGAGGGGCCAAAGCCTCTGATCCCATAGACCTGGAAGAGATGGTAGGATACTGGAGAAGCGTATCAGTACGAATGCAATTGAAAGATAAGCATAAGATTTCCAGGGATGGCATTTTTCAGGGGCCAAGGCCACAAGATCCCGAAGCCCGAGACCCGTTTAGGGTTTGGGGTCTAGGGCAGGGTTTAGGGTGTAGGGTTTGGGGTTAGGGTTAAGGGCTTCCAGAGTATAGGCCGAACCAACACTTGACCCATAAACCTGAAGCCCAAAACCTTGTTCATTCTCGCTCCCCAAAAAGCCCTAAAACCCTTCTACCCCTTGTAAACCCTAAACCCTCTTAGGGTAGTTACGTGGGGCCTTAATATGGTCCCTAACCTCTTTTACATGGTTCTGATGTATGGGCCCCAAGTGTATAGGGTACCTTTTGGATATACATAGGGTCCCTGACTAAGGCTATGTTGAGAAACCCTAAACCCCCAAGAATCCGAAGCTCTGAACAACTCTCAGGTTGCGTACCTCTTCAATGGGGACATTGTCGGCGCGCCTGTCTGGGTTTCTGCTGGAGTGGTGTGGACTTCGGAGCTTCTGGGCAGACGCTTCTTCAACGTCTTCACATTCTCCCCTTATGGTTTGGCGATTAGAGGGCTTGCCCTAAACCCTACACCCTAAACCCTAACCCTTAACCGCCAGTTTCTGGGACTTGGCTGGGCTGGGTTTTACGACTTGAGCTTAGGTGCTTGTATGGCTGGAGAAGCTCGCGCGAGGCTTTGAGCCTAGCCACACCAGTCGTCTCCAGTCCAAAGGAGAGGGTATCGCTACTGTGGGCAGTATTCCGATTCTCGCTAGTCCTAGCAAAACAGCATCAACAAGTAGTTCTCATGATATCCATGTTTGCTTCTTGTGGTTTGGGGTCGTGGCCTGGCATTTTTGCATTGTGCATTCTGGGACTCAGCCCACAATCGCCGCCGCCAGATCGGGGGCGCCACGCCGTCGAGATTTGGATGCTGATCATTGCCTACAAGCTTGCTTTCCCCCGCAGCGTGGGGGGACCCTGGGTTCTCGGGCCTATAGGGAAGCTGAGTTCTACTTGAAGCACATAGAAGCCTACGAACCCTCCACTAGGGGCCTTTTGGTATGTCTATATGCGCTTAAGGCGATGTGAGGGAGGGAGGCACTGCCGTACCTTCCCATGCCTAGTCGCGAACATGTTTGAGGTCTTGGCTTGGTTTTTGGCAGTGCTTGGGGCCTCTTGGGTCTGCACCCCCCCCCCCCCCCCAACAAAAAATCCTAAAACCCAAAACCCCTCAGTAGAGAACCAATTGTATAGGGTTTAGGGTTTAGGGTGTAGAATGAGGTGTCTTCCATCCCTCTATATACGAACTAATTCCCCTAGTTCCCGCGCAAGAACCAGTGAGAACAGGACCGAAGAGGCCGCGCCGCGAAGACTCTTCTAGCCCTAGACGCACGCTCACGCAGGGACTGGGGAGGGTTAGTCTATGAGCAGGTTAGACCACAGCACGTAGAAACCCCTAGAAACAGAAATGCCCCAGACCTATCTCAAAGAACACCCTCCTCCGCTCGAAGCCCTGAGCCTCTCAGGATTCCGACATATGGAAACAGAACCCTTATTCGCGTCTACAGCCTACGTATAGTGCTGAGAACGTTCAAGCGGAAGGCTTGGAAGTTGAGGGTTTAGAGTCACCCCCTCTCCAGAGGTCTTCGTGCTTCGTGGAAACCACGAGAACGACCAAATGATTGCCAGGCCCGGGGGTGGGGTGGGGGGGTTCAGGGTTTAGGGTTTAGGGTTTAGGGTTTAGGGTTTAGGGTTCAGGGGGCAATAAGGAAAGTAGCAACCATGATCGTAGGATGGAAGAGGTGGTCGGAGCAAAATAACATGCAGCCAAAGTAGTTGCAGTCGTGATCATGATGCCTTGGCAACCCAGTGGTACCCTTTACCCTTTACCCTTTTTTTGGTTCTGGTTTCCCTTGTAAACTAACCAACCCAAAAAAGGGTGCCCTTATTGAATATAGTTACTGGGCTACCGGGAGGCGGTATTTGCGCAAGTGTACAGCGTCCAAGTCTGGAGGGACCCTGAACTCCTCCAACTTCCAATTTTGAGCAGTTCAGAGTTTAGGGTTTCGGGTCTACATGAGCATGCCCCACAACAGTGGGGTACCCCTAGCAGACCCCCAATTGTATCGCCCTTATTGTAGGAACCTCTGAAAATGGAGAACATGATGGGATTTGTTGACAGTTGAAGTGTGCTCTCCGCCAAACAATGCTGGCTGACGCCTCCTGAGATTAGTCCCAGTAGGGTTTGGGCTCTGTGTTTACACCCTCAACCCTAAACCCTAAGCCCTAAGCCCTAAGCCCCTAAGCCCTAAACCCTAAACCCTAAACCCGAAGCCCTAAGAAGCCCTAAACCCTAAGCTCTAAGCCCTAAGCCCTAAGCTAGGGCTTCAGGGCTTAGGGCCTCCAGACGACCAACGTGGCGAGGCGCAGTCAGCGGAGCCTCCGCAGATGCCTGACACTAGACTTACTAGGTTCCCGATCCCCTAAACCCTAAACCCTAAACCCTAAACCTTAAACCCTACTCCCTACTCCCTACTCCCTAGACCCTATTCACGACTTGAGGAATGATCCTAAGGGTTCCTTCGTTCAGGGGTTTGGGGTCCTCTGCTCCTCCCCCCTCTGGCCCTGTCCTCCCTCACCTACCACACAGATCAAACGGCTTGAGGGTGAGGATGTGTAGGCCGGCTGTAACAATGTGGGTTGTTTTGTGGCGGGCATTCACACCTTAACCCCTCTTCAGCTCACCGCCTCAAACTAAATTGATGCGCAACGGCACGGCGCGACACCTCTTTCCTGCCCGCCGCCCCCAGGCAAACGTTACCGCACAGAAGACAAATCATCTAAAGTCCTCAGGCCTCAACGCCTTAACAAAGAGATGAACTCTCATATTGAAATCAAATGCAGGCATCACTGACGCATGCTTGAAGACAATGATGGTTGTGATGATTTCTGATGGTTCTGGTACTGCTCGGATTTGTGATCATGAACAAGTCCGACCATATCGGACTCGTAGAATTATTAGCATCTTGTATGTGCGAATTACAAAAAACCTAAAACCCTAAAGCCCTAAATATTTGCGCATCATGAAAGCACCGATTCCGTACCAGGCCGTTCAAAATGGGCGGCGGGTTCTCAGAGGCATCCTGCCGCGGTTTTTAGGGTTTTTAGAGTTTTTAGGGGTTTTAGGGGCTTTAGGGGCTTTAGGGGTTTTAGGGGTTTTGGGGGTTTTAGGGGTTTTCTAGGAGTTTTAGGGGTTTAGGGGCTCAGGGGCTTAGGGGGCTTCGGGGCTTGGGGGCTTAGGGGTTTAGGGTTTAGGGTTTACATGGGGCTTAAGACTCAGTTAGTAGGTCCCCCAAGTACCCCTAAACCCCGGCCTGAGCGGCATGTTGGTGCAACTTAAAGGGTATTCCAGGGCGTCTAGCTGCTAGGGTTAGGGTTTAGGGTTTAGGGTTTGGGGTTTGGGGTTTAGGGTTTGGGGTTTGGGGCTAACCCTTAGGGACTTACAAATGAGCAAAGCACGCCTACCGTAATGCTTCACAGAGTTGTTGGTCGCCACTCCCATTCACTTCTATGATGCTCTCTGCCGTCCCTTGAACCCTAAACCTTGAACGTGCCTGATATCGGCGTTTAGGTTTAGGGTTGTTGGGTGTGTAACAACTAGGACCCAGAGTAGGCCCTCACTCCCTTTTCTAGGTTTCAAGTTCCCTTGTAACCCCCTTGAAACCAAAATGGGCAACCTCTTGATTCCTAGGCTACTCCTGGGTCTAGACAAGGATGGGTTTGTGGGTAGTTGTTTACGATTTACGATGCCTTCGTTCGGGATTGTATGTGGAGAAAAGCGGTCATTCTCTCGGCTCCTGCATTGGACCCAGTACTTGCCTATTCACATCCTTAGTTTCTGTGGGCGACAGCCCGAAATGAGCTTCTCCCAACACATTGCAATCATTGTCGAGCTGCCCTTTGTTTTGTGAACAACACCACACTGAGTTTCGTTTCTGACTTGCGAAAGATCCCACTTAAGCCCTCGGCATCCACGAGTTTGAACCTCTTCCAAAAGCATCACGGTGAGGGGGCTGCGCGATGCTGGGGTTGCGGGGGGGGGGGGGGCAAGAATAGACACCCTGTGTACTCCCTTGCAGGGTGATCAAATGGGGCATAAGGTGTCTAGTGATTCCCGCGACTAAGAAACAGTAAGTTTAGGGTCTAAGTTCAGAGACTTCTGCCCGGCACGATCGTTTTGATGCCCGTGCTTTTGGATCGTATTCCTTCAACTCTAAACCCCAAACCCTAAGACCCTAAAAACCCTAAACCCTGAAACCCCGAAACGCTAAAGCCCGAAGCACCCAAACTTTGTATGGATGTTGTGCACCAACGTCATAGAAGCCTCGTTTAGGGTTTTTAGCGTTAGGGTTTAGGGTTTAGGGTTAAGGGGTATAGGGTTTCAGGTTTTCAGGATTTAGTGCCAGGAGTGTCTCAGCAAATACAACCATGCGGTGCTTGCTGCCTTCCAGCGCATGCTCGAACCTCAGACTCATCAGGGCTCGGGAGTTGGGCCTTCAGGGTTTAGGGTTTAGGGTTAAGGGTTTAGGCTTCAGGCTGTTGGGGTTCATGGTTCCGGGGTTTAGGGTTTAGGGCGGTTCAGGCTTTTGGGGTTCAGCGTTCAGGGGTATAGCGTTTGGGGTTCAGGGTTCAGGGGTTTAGGTTTAGGGTTTAGGAGCCCCTCAGCCCCTCTCCCTAAACCCTAAACCCTAAACCCTAAACCCTAAACCCTCAGCCCCTCTGCAAGGTTCAAGCGGCTCCCGCTCTTCGCCGTGGTGGCGCGGGAGATCTTCGTGGTGTCGGCGTCCCAGAACGCTGGGTCTTGTACGGTTTTATGGTTTAGGGTTTAGGGTTTGGGGTTTAGGGTTTGGGGTTTAGGGGTCTCCCCACGATTTGCTTAAGAACCCCCCCGCTCACCCCCCAAGAAAAGGCAGTACGGGGAATATTGTTCTTTGTTTTTTTTTTTGGGGGGGGTGGGGGGGGTTCTTCGGCAAGTAGTAGTTTAGGGGTTCAGGATTCAGGGTTCAGGGGTTAGGGGCTACAGTTAGGCTTTGATTTGTTTAGGGTTTGTGGGTTGAGGGGATCAGTGAAGTTGGGCGGGGGGGGGGGGGGGGGGCTTTCGGTTTGCAGGGCTTAATGTTTCTCTGGAAGACGACTTCGGACAGTATCACCGAAAGCTATTTCTAGGGTTCGAGGTTTCCTGAGGAGGCAGCCGACCGCTCCGAAGAACAATTGAATTTGACACCCAGCTCCTAAACCTTAAACCCTAAACCCTAGACCCTGACTAGGACCAGGAGTAGGCCCTTATTCCCTTTTTAGGCTTCAGGTTCCCCTTTGTAAGCCCCTTTAAACCAAAAAGGGTACCCTTTTTATTCCTAGGTTACTCTCGGGTCTAGCTGAACTAACTGTGTGGGGCAACCTAGGATTGCCATCGTCTCAGGGGCGATATGTTTAGGGTTTAGGGTTTAGGGTTTAGGTTCAGGGTGCAGAGGTTTACAGGCTTAGAAACCCCAAGCGCTGCATCCTAAACCCTCCAAAGCCTCCACCCTCAACCCTTTACCCTACAGGGCGGATAAGGCTTATAGTTGGTTCTAAACGGCCCGAACTCACCAACGATCCACCCTTGAACCTTAAGCCACAACAAACCCTTAACCCCAAACCCTATACATCCCTAACCCGAAGCCCTAAACCCCTGAACCGCTAAACCCTTAACCCCTAAACCACTACACCCTAAACCCTAAACCCTAAACCCTAAACCCTAAACCCTAAACCCTAAACCCTAAACCCTAAACCCTAAACCCTAAACCCTAAACCCTAAACCCTAAACCCTGAACCCTAACCCTTGCTTACGTCTCCCACCCTGACCAAGCCATGCCAAGAGGCACGGGGGCCTCTTTCGAAGCCCCGGAGCCACTGGGCAGGTTAGGCTGTTGCGTCTAGACGCGTCTTTGCAGTCCACAAGGTCTGTCGGGTTTAGGATTTAGGATTTAGGGTTTAGGGTTTAGGGTTAGGGTTTAGGGTTTAGGGTTTAGGGTTTAGGGTTATCCCTTGGGAAGCCTGTCGGAGTTCGTCTTTCACGAGACCTAAGCCCTAACCACCGAAAGCCCAAACACCGAAAGCCTTAACCCTAAACTTCCCTACACCCTAAACACCCTCCAGGTGGGATGTTGCCCCTTAATGGGGAGATAGTACCCCCTATGACAGGCTCCCTTTTCAGGATTGTCAGTATAGGGTGGACCATCTCAATGCTTCAGGATTGCACTCCTTCTTGGTTCTTCAAGTTGCAGAGGGAGGCTACGAAGACCGACTCCCAATTGTAGTTCGTTTCTTAGTCGGGTTTGGGGAGTTTTTGGGTTTAGGGTTTAGGGTTTAGGGTTCAGGGCCCTACGACATTACATTGCATGGCTTAGGCTTGCCTGCGAGGAATTGGGAGTTCTTTGGCTAAGCCTTATCACGCCCCAAACCCCTAAGCCGTACTCTTTATAATGTGAGGCAAGGGCACAAAGCTTCAGACGCCAGAAGCATCTCAACCCTAAAGCCTGAAGCCCCAAAGCTTTGTTTTGGCTTTGGGCTTTACGCGGAAGCAACTCAAAGCCCTGGCCCCTAAAACCCGTAATCCCAATTACATTCTTCAACCCCTTAACCCGAACCTCTAACCCTAAACCTCAAACCCCAAAACCTAAACCCTAAACCCTACACCCTACACCCTAAACCCTATACCCTAAACCCTAAACCCTAAACCCTAAACCCTAAACCCTAAACCCTAAACCCTAAACCCTAAAGCCTAAACCCTAAACCCTAAACCCTAAACCCTAAACCCTAAACCCTAAACCCTAAACCCTAAACCCTAAACCAAAACCCCTATGCACCTAACCCCTCCGTCGCCTCAGTCCTTAAGCCCCGTGCCTGAAGCTGAGGTGACGCTCCAGTCTCTGCGTGAACTTCCAGAGGCCAGAAGAACCCCAAACCCAGTTTAGGCTGTCAGGTTGTTGGGTTTAGGGTTTAGGGTTTAGGGTTTAGGGTTTAGGGTTTAGGGTTTAGGGTTTAGGGTTTAGGGTTCCTGCGAGCTGTCATTGAGGACCAATCCAGATTCGTTCCCACTTGTGGAGACACCCTAAGCCACCTCCAGACATGTAAATACTGAACCCTAAAAACCCTGAACCCGAACCCCAGACACCCCAAGTTCCGTAAATCCCTGAACCCCTCCACCCGGATTCCCCCCCCGACCCCAAACCCCTGAGACCCTCACATCCAGCACCCTTGAATCCCAATTCCCGAAACCCTGGGCCCGTCAGCTTCAATCGAAAACACTTGAACTTAAAACATCCCTAAACCCCTTCATAAACCCCTACAAACCCTAAAAAAATGTTTTTTTAAAGGTAAAATTGTTTTTACCTGTTCAGGGTCTAGGGTTTAGAGGTTCCCCACAAGGCCATGGCATGGGGGCCTCCGGCTGGGCCTGCGGCTTCAGCCATAGAAAGTGCCATGGTGCGTTTTGCACCCTAAGCCTAAACCCAAAACCCTATAAGCCTAAACCCTAAGCCCTATTAGCCCTAGCCCTAAATCCCAAATCCCAAATAAATCCTAAGCCCCAAACCTCAGCCTCGAATCCATTCCCGAATCCCAACGGCAGGGAGATTGGCAGCGGAACTACCCCAATCCACTGAAGAAGGACGAGATCGACCGAGGCGGGACGTGGTTTCAGCTGGTTGGTGTCAGATTTTAGGGTTTATACATATATGTATATATATATATATGTTTATATGTATATATGTATATATGTATATATGTATATATGTATATATGTATATATGTATATATGTATATATGTATATATGTATATATGTATATATGTATATGTATAAATAAATAAATACATAAGTAAATATATATATATACACATATAAACCAGGGCTTCGTCACCAGGGTATGTAGGGGCAGAGGGCGTCAGTGTTCTGGGAGTTATGAAGAAGAAAATTTAAGCGTAATGGAATCAATAGTATGAGCTTGCAGCATGTATGTGACAGTGTAAGAAGATGGCGCACACCCAGGGATTTATCACTCGCCCCTGCACCCGAAGCCCCTTTTGAAACCCAGGCCAAGCGTGGACGAGGAACGAGGAGATCCTCTTTGACGCACTTTGGGCACCAGCCTCAGCAGCGAGACTTCGCGGGTGTACGGGGGGCTTGGGGGGTTTAGGGTTGTTGATTTGCTGGATTTGGGGTTTAGGTTCGGATGTTCCCTTCTCTAGTATCAGCTTTAAAGAAGGGCTTGTATTCGATTCGGAGTGGGAGTACCTTAAAACGCTTTGGCCATTCCAGTCTATTCGGCTATCTCAAAAAAGGACATGAAAATCCTACAGCCCTGAAGTGAGTTGGGACCTCTGCAATGCTGACGTGAGCCGACACCTAAACAAGGGCAGGTTTGAACAGATTTTACCCCTAATCCCCTACATAGTCCCTCCCAAACCTACGCCAGTAAACCCTCAACCAGAAGCCTCCTTTAGCTTTCAAGGCTGCACGCTCAGGGTTTCAGTGCGTAGGGCAGTAAACCCTAAACCCTAAACCCTAAACCCTAAACCCTAAACCCTAAACCCTAAACCCTAAACCCTAAGAGGCTTCAGAGCTGTGAGGGTCTCAGTCCGCAGCAACCCACGCTCGAGATGTTGCTTTCGGAGCTTTAGTGCTTCGGGCCTAGGCTCCTAAACCCTTGAACCCTCACAAACCCTAAATCCTCCATAAGCCCTCAACCCTCAACCCTAAACCCTAAACCCTAAACCCTAAACCCTAAACCCTAAACCCAAAACTAGGGTTCAAGGATCGCATGCCAACATTTTTGTTAGGTGTTGATTTCTCGACAGTCCCAGAAGATTTTGCACATCACTTCTCTTCACAGCGGTTTCGAGATGTTTTAGAGGTTAGGGGTCCCCTCTCCCGAAGCCCTAAACCCCAAACCCTAAACCCTAAATCCTAAACCGTAAACCCTAAACCCCAAACCCTAAACCCGAAACCCTAAACCCTAAACCCGAAACCCTAAACCCTAAACCCTAAACCCTAAAACCCTAACCCCTAGACCGTAGACCCTAAACCCTAAACCCTAAACCCTAAACCCTAAACCCTAAACCCTAAACCCTAAACCCTAAACCCTAAACCCTAAACCCTAAACCCTAAACCCTAAACCCTAAACCCTAAACCCTAAACCCTAAACCCTAAACCCTAACACCTAAACCCTAAACCCTACACCCTAAACCCTAAACCCTAAACCCTAAACCCTAAACCCTAAACCCTAAACCCTAAACCCTAAACCCTAAACCCTAAACCCTAAACCCTAAACCCTAAACCCTAAACCCTAAACCCTAAACCCTAAACCCTAAACCCTAAACCCCATCCCTGGACATTGGGTTGTGGACCGAGGCCGATCCTCACCTCGGCTCTGGATCGAAAAGGCCCCCCAGGGCCGGGGAACGTTCTTTCGTCAACCGGGGGGGAGGGAGAGCCTAAACCCTAAACCCTGAGCCCTAAACCCTAAACCCTAAACCCTAAACCCTAAAGCCTAAAGCCTAAAGCCTAAAGCCTAAAGCCTAAAGCCTAAACCCTAAACAACCCCTAAACCCATGCACATCGAGATGGGCTGATGGTGAAAAGCAAGTCAGCTCTGCTCCCAGGTTGCGGGCCTGGTGTTAAACGTTCCAGGTGAAGGTTTGCCACTATCACAGGGGCTGCTTGGTTGTGGCTAGGGTTTCGGGTTTAGGGTTTCGGGTTTAGGGTTTAGGGCTCTACGAAGAGTCCGATTGCAGCCAAGAACCTAAAGCCTAAGCCCCAGGCGCCTTCCTCGCAAGAAGTTACAGATCAAGCTGCCCTGTCCGCTTGCCTTCGGCCTGCGCAGGTCGGAGCGTGGTAGAGTGGCAGTTATGCGTGGGACCCCGTTTTCTGGCTACTGTAGCTCATAGTAAAGTAGGCACCTTTGCTTCCCATTTGCAGAGAAGAATAGGGTACCTAATTCCAAACTTCTTACCAAGAACCTGTAGGTTTTCACAAGGACTACCAAAGCAAGCTCGACACCTTTCCTAGGCATTCTCACTTTCTTAAGGTTTGTAGGCCTTTGTGATTGGGCTTTAGCTTGGCTTTGGGGCAGTGTAGCGCCCTTGCGCTGTCGTTCACTCCGACTGAACCTTTCACCTATGATCAGAGTAGCTTCTAGGCAAAGGCTGTTCTTGGGCTTCTGGTTTCTTTATGTCCGTGCTGTCATGAGCTGAGGGGTGGGATTCGTGAGGGTGTCAGGGCTTAGGGTTTAGTCCTACACCCGATGCCTGTTTTTCGGGGGTATCTATGATGAGGATCCCCAGGTAGTGCAGGCATCGGAGGTTAGGGCGATTTGGGTTTGGGGTTCAGGGAGCGACATCTGAGCCGCAGGATGTAGGGACACTGGTGGGAGGGCTTCTTCGCCTCAAGCAGGCGAAGAAGGAGATACATGGTAACCCTAAACCCTAAACGCTAAACCCGAAACCCTAAACCCTAAACTCCCCAAACCCTAAACCCTAAACCCTAAACTCCCTAACCCTAACCCTAAACCCTAAACCAAGACTTGAGGTATGGCCAGGATGCCGACCCTCCCTTCGCGGCTTTGGGCTCCTGATGGCTCCCTTAGCGACGGATAGCATCAGTATTGTCTTGAGGGGCCATGGCAGTGGCTCCCGACCCCGCCCCGATGGAGGCCGACACCCGCTTGGCACGTGGGGTTTAGGGTTTAGGGTTTAGGGTTTAGGGTTCAGGGTTGAGGGTCTAGGGTTTAGGGTTTAGGGGTTCGGGGTGTGCGGGGTTTGATGGGTGGAGAGGCCTTTCACAGTGCCGTTGCAGCGCAAGAACGTGGGAAATGTCACCTGACTGGAGCTTCAGCACGAATAAGGAGTGGATGCCCATACTCTTCCCTACGTATGTACATACACATATATACTGCATACTGTACATCGTTTCCCACCGTGGTACTTTGTATTCACTAAGTCGCTACGCCTTCCCCCTGTATCCAAAGAGCTCTCAACCATCTGCGCCCAAGCGTTGGGCCATTATGCCCTGGCACCCTGAGCCACGAGCCCAAACCACCCCCAGCCCCATCAAGCTTTACGCGCCCTGAGCCCTGATCCCTAAACCTTACGGCTATAGTCCCTAAACCTCAACCCTAAACCCTAAACCCTAAACCCTGAGCCCTGAGCCCTGAGCCCTGAGCCCCAAGCCGCCGTCACCCAGCCACCGCTCTCGCAGGCTCCTGCCCAGCAGACGTTCGACATTGCAGACATCGGCGAGGGCCTGCGAATCGATCTTCGGTCATCTTTTTAGAAGTGAGCGGTTTAGGGTTTTGGGTTTAGGGTTTAGGGTTTAGGGTGGCTAGTCCATCTCCTGCGCTTCTTTTCAGCAGGGTGGACAGGTCGTTCTTGCCGCCGTTTGGGAACATTTTCCGGGAGTAAAGCAGCAGCTCAAGCGTGTGAATTAAACTTCGTGTTGCACTGAGTGAGGGAGGAGGGTTTAGGGTTTAGGGTTTAGGGTTTAGGGTTTAGGGTTTAGGGTTTAGGGTTTAGGGTTTAGGGTTTAGGGTTGGAGCTTAGGGGAGAGGCTATGGCCTGATCAGGGCTATCAAGGATGGGGTCGCAAGCCCTCTTGGGGTAAGATGGCTGTAGGGTTTAGGGTTTAGGGTTTGGGGTTTCGGGTTTAGTAAATTTAGGGTTTAGGATTTAGGGTTTAGGGTTTAGGTGTGAAAGCCCCGAGACTCTAAAACCCTAGATTGTTAAACCTTTCTTCTCGAGCGAAGGAGGCAATGAGCCAAGAGCGTTGCGAGACAGAGCGCCTCAAGGCACGATGGTGTACTGCAGACTTGCGATTTTTTTGGGGGGTGGGGCTTCATCATCTGGGCTGGTTTCTTTGAACTTGTTGGGTTTAGGGTTTAGGGTTTAGGGTTTAGGGTTTAGGGTTTAGGGTTTAGGGTTTAGGGCTTACAGGGGATTTCGGAATCGGGCTTTGTGCCGAAGGCTAGTGAGAGCGCTTCCGAGACTTGGGGTTAGGGTTTAGGGTTTAGGGTTTAGGGTTTAGGGTTTAGGGTTTAGGGTTTAGGGTTTAGGGTCTAGGGTTTAGGGTCTAGGGTCTAGGTTCAAGCTTCCCTGAGGCTCAAGACGAGAAGGCCAACGTAATATGCGCCTCGGGTCTCAGCCTCAGGTCAGCAGCGGATCAAGCCCCGAAGGCAACTCTACCGTCGGGATGGCACGAAAGACCGGGCTACAAACCCTAAACCCTAAACCCTAAACTTCCACGACGTTGGGAACAGCCTTCTCCCCGTACCCCAAAAGGTATACTAAAGGGAGTCCCAGCTCTAATGGGAGTCCCAGCTCTCATCCTTAAACCTACAAATTGCTTAAGAACCACGAAAAAAAACAACAAAAATCTTCCTTCTTAAAGGCAAAATAGGGATTAGTGATTTTGTTATTCTTTTGGGGTTTTTAAGGAAATAGTAGAAACCATGGAGTTTATGGTAAGATGTTGCAGGCCCCAGAGTGCAGTGAACTATTGCTCAACTCTATGAGCGCAGTTGCGGGACCTGGCTCGGGCCTTATAGCCCTAAACCCTGGTTCCTTAGCAGCAACCTAGTAGGCACAGGGTTTAGGGTTTAGGGTTTAGGGTTTAGGGTTTAGGGTTTAGGGTTTAGGATTCAGGGTTTAGGGTTCAGGGTTTAGGCTCTAGAAATGCAGGAGATGGCGAAGCTCTACTTGGATGGCTTTGGCGGGAAGCGCTTCTGCCTCTGCTGCCGGAACACCGAGGCGCGCGTGGTTCGGGTTTTGGGCTTAGAAGGTGTAAAGTTCAAAGCTGGGATACTGACCCAGACCCCTTGTTTGGAGGATCCAAAAAAGTGATCCCCTTAAGGGTTTCCAAACAATTGCCTAAGAGTGGTCTGGGGTACTACTTGGGGGCTCTACTTTCTGGATCCTCCCCCTCTGGGAGGCCCTAAGCCGATTCGGCCTAAAACTCCGAGCTGCATTCGTCAGAGTCTTGGATTCCGGGTTTACGGCAGTCGTGGTTCGGGTTGCTCAAAGTACAGTTTGGGGTTTAGGCTTTAGGGTTTATGATTTCCAGTGTTCACCTTTTCATGGTGGCGCAAAGTAGGTTTGAACTTACGACTCCTTGAGTGTAGGGACTGGCTGAAACAGTCACGACTACTTGCGACAGCCCGTAAGTACCTCGCCCCAATAATTGCCCACCGTTTTATGGGCTTCTACCTTTTTTGTGCTTTTGGCACTGACTTCTAGGGTTTGGAGTTACAGGTCAATCTGAACGAGAAAACCTAAGACCCTAAACCCTAAACCCGACATCGCCCAGCCGAGTCAGGTCGAAACCGTGTCAGGTGTGCGGCACCTCGGGTCGATTTATTGGGCTCCTATTGTGGCAGTTTCCGGGCACTGATGCGGTTCGGGCTTACCACTCTTTGTTTCAGAACACCCCCCCCCCCCCCCCCCCCCCCCCGGCCTAAACCCTAAACCCTAACCCCTAATCCCTAAACCCTAAACCCTAAACCCTAAACCCTAAACCCTAAACCCAAACCCTAAACCCTAAACCCTAAACAGCAGCTTAGGTTTTTCAGAGACTTTATCTTTGAGTCAGGGCCGACCCTGAGCATTGAAAGGGACTTAAGACTCGTACCCCCTAAGGTTGTACCACCAAAAGGTTCTCCTGAATAGACCCCTAAACCCTAAACCCTAAACCCCCAAACCCTAAACCCTAAACCCTAAACCCCAAACCGCCATTAATATAGCCCTCCTTGAGGATCCTTGCCCTGAACCCTAAACCCTAACACCCCCCAACCCCAAGGGCACAACCTTAAGGGTCGCAGGCACAGCCCCTCGATTTTAGGGACTCCGAAGTCGGGGGATCCCCATCTCAGACGGATGAAAACTTGTAAACCCTAGACCCTAAGCCCCTCAAAACCCTAAACCCTTAACCCTAGACCCTAAACCCTAAACCCTAAACCCTAAATCCTAAACCCTAAACCCTAAACCCTAAACCCTTAACTAAACTTAGCTTCCTGAAGCCCCTGACAGTAAAACCGGAACTCCACCAACCTGGCCCTTCGCCTCGTTCAGCCCCTATTGACCCCGCCCCTTCGTCGCATGCCGCGGCGCGCGAAAGCTCAGGTCTGCCTACACACGGTTTCCAGAGAGCAAGCTGAAGGCATGGTTTTAGGGTTTAGGGTTTAGGGTTCAGGGTTTGGGGTTTGGGGTTTGGGGTTTAGGGTTTAGGGTCATGGGTTGCGGGGTCTGGGGAGAAAGCATTGAGGTGTTGACTTGCCTGCCTCGGCGTTTAGGGACGTTGAGGGGTTGAGCCTGAGGGTTTGTGGTTCAGGGGTTTAAGGGTTTAGGGTTTAGGGTTTAGGGGCGCGTGTGCGTGTGACAATTGCTGGCCTTGACATGTGGCGCTTGAATTTGCCTTGCCGAAAAACTGAAAACCTCGCCACCCCATGTTCTTAAAACAGCCCGTACTTGGAGGTCCAGGGTACTTATAACCCCCAAGTATAACTGTACTTATATGCCCCCTGAGTCCCCTAAGATTGGGGTTTTAAGTGCCCGTGAACCTCCAAGTAGACGACCCCAGGGCCCATACATCAGACGAGTACCCTTTTTTTTTTTTTTTTTTTTTTAGGGGGGGGGGGGGGGGGTCCGTTTAAGGGGATTCGATTCTTTTTGGGGTAGAAAAGGGGTACCCCTAATTTGGGAAATGCCCAGATCAGTCCGGAGACACCTCCAAGCACTTGGGCCCCAAGTCAGGTGCAGTAGTTAGCAGGTGCTTCGCTGACTTCCTCCGAAGCACCAGGTGGCATGGGGTTTAGGGTTTAGGGTTTAGGGTTTAGGGTTTAGGGTTTAGGGTTTAGGGTTTAGGGTTTAGGGTTTAGGGTTTAATGTGGCTTTAGGGTTTAGGGCTTGGGGACCCTGAACCCTAGCTACCCTAGCTGTGGAACCCTGGGTACTGGCAAGGGCCAAGCCTGGACGGGAAAAAACCCCACTCATGGCACGCGCTTGGGGGCTTGGGGGTGTTCATTGCGGCTGAGCTTCTCTCTAAGGGTAGTTATATGCGCCCTTAACATGGTCCCTTACCTCCTTAAAAGGGTTCGGAGCCCCTTGGTTGCTAGGGCATATAGCGGGTATAGAGCTTAGATTCTCATTTCAGATACATGCAGCCAAGTACACCGCAGTCTCAGTGGTACCCTTTACCCGTTCTTTGGTTCAAGGTTCCCCTATAAAGTAACCAAACCCTTATCATAAGGTTTTTACTTGTTTACCAAGTAATTAGTGCAAACCCGAAGGCAAAGACCCTAAACCCTAAACCCCCTAAACTCTGAATCCTAACAGGCCTGTGGCGTGGCTGTCGACGCTTCGGGGAAGGAGCTTGGCCTGTGCCTGGGCTTTGGAGTACCATACTTTAATGCTTTTCTTGGTTCTTTGGATCCTCTTCTGGCTACTTATACCTAAAAGTATGTACTTTTGTCCAGGGTCTACTCCTACGTATACCTAAAAAGCATATACTTTTTTCCAGGGTCTACGCCAAACTAGGGCCTAGGCCTGTTCCCTTTCGGCTACAGGGTGAGTCAATGGGATGATGGAGTTCATCGTGTGGCACCCCCCCCCCCCCCAAACCCACTCCACGGGTTTAGGGTTTAGGGTTTAGGGTTTAGGGTTTAGGGTTTAGGGTTTAGGGTTTAGGGTTTAGGGTTTAGGGTTTAGGGGTTACGTCAGAGACGCATGGAATCTTAAACCGCAATCACGGTTTTTCTTTTTTGGGGCGGGGTTTCTTTTTTGGGGCGGGGGCAAAGGTTCTTCTCTAAACCCTTCGCCCTAAACCTTAAACCCTAAGCCCGATACCACGTAGCGGCTGTTGGAAGTGTTTGACTCTGGGTCAAGGGACTAAAGGAGGGACCCTTACAAGGGACCTTTGGGGTTATTCAGGAGATATTTAGGGGGGGGGGGGCCACTTAGGTATACAGGGACTATGTACGGTACATATGGGGTTATATCGGGGAATAAGATTAAGGGTCCCTTCCAGGTCCCTCCTTATACCTTTTCACTGGGGATCAGGGTCCAGGACAGGATTTAGGGTTTAGGGTTTAGGGTTTAGGAGAGTCAACGGAGGGGCGTAGGCTAGCGTAGCTTGTGGAGTCAGGATCCAGCTGGGCTTCCATGACACACCAGGCCTGTTGTTGTTTTGACTTGCGAACCCTAAACCCTAAACCCTAAACCCTAAACCCTGAACCCTGAACCCTGAACCCTGAACCCTGAACCCTGAACCCTGAACCCTAAACCCTAAACCCAGGCCACCGAGGGCTTTCCGGCCTGTGGGATGCCATTCAGCCTATAAGAAGCCCGAAAGCCTTCAGTATGTCGCTGCCTGGTGTAGGCTATACTTCATGCCTTCATGGCCAAAACGGCCTCCAAAACACGGCAACAGCACCAAGAAACCCAGGAGAAAACTTAAACACCAAAAGCCCCTGATTCCCAAACCCTGAGAAAAAACCGAGAAGATGCAAAAACAAAACTGATGAAAAGGACCTAAAGGCCCTATCCAGACTCCAACTCCGACCCCGAAACTGCCCTCCTCAGCATCCTCTTCGGTACTATCGCACCCAGGGTTTAGGGTTTAGGGTTTAGGGTTTATAGGCTTAGAGAGACCGCCCAGGGTTCGTGTCCCAACAGTTCTCGACCGAGTTAAGCTTTGCTTTTTCGAAGAAGCTGAGTCCCATGTCTGACCGTTGCTTCCCAGGATCCCGCGAGGAGCCCCTCCCACCCCCGCCCAACAGAAACCCTAAACCCTAAACCCTAAGCCCGAAGCCCTAAGCCCTAACCCTAAACCCTAAACCCTCAACCCTACACCCTAAACCCTAAACCTTAACCCCTAAACCCGAAACCCTAAACCCTAAACCCTAAACAACTTCGCTCACCTAGCGCGCGACAAGGATTTTAGAATTGAGCGGCCTTGGCAGACATGTAAAACCCAGCTGGAAAGGCCGGATGGCAAGCACCGATGCTGTGCTTGCTTTACACAAGCAGAGCCCACCCGACTTCGGCCGAGAGCATCCCCTGATCGCAGAGAGAAACAACCAGGAGAGATGCATCCGATGACCTGTAATTGCCTGGGTATTCAACAACCGCAAAGTGCCCAATAAGCAGCAGCGCCTGCACCTCCAAGAGGACGCCCCACCCGAAACCCGAAGCACTTGAAACTTCAACTTGAAACCCTCTAAGTCCTTTGAGCCCGAGGATCCGAAAACCCCCAAACCCCATAGGGTTTAGGGTTTAGGGTTTAGAAAGAATCAATGCGTTGGGGGGCCATGATTCTTGATAGTTCGAAGCGCCTGCAAGGATTCATGATTTCCGGGTGCCATGATCATGAAGCTACATATTCGGGGCATCGTGGCATAACGTTCTCCATTCGGAACAGGCGACTGGGAGATTCCCTCTTGCTGCGTGTGTCTTGGTTGCACTGGCACCCGTCAACCCTAAACCTTAAACCCTAAACCCTAAACCCCAAACCCCAAACCCTAAACCCTAAACCCTTTGCTTCACTTTGCTTCAGGGGTGCGGGGTTTCTGTCGCGCTTGGACCCTGAAAGTGCCAGTGCTGTGACATGTGGTCATGTAGGAAGGACTGGACATCGGTGTTGGGATGCTCCCCTTATACTTCAGTCCTTAATTTTAACGCTACGCGACCTGCCTCGGCCCGGCCCAGCGCATCCGCGTGAGCATGGTGATTCCGCAGCGCCCAAGTCGCTGGACCCCAAGCAATAAGGGTTGGGTTGAGGGTTGAGGGTTGAGGGTTCCGGGTTTATGGTTTATGGTTTGGGGTTTGGGGTTGAGGGTTAGTTTAGGGCTCAAGGTTCACGCTTTGGGGTCGAGGGTTTTTTTGGGTTTAGGGTTCGGCTTGGAGTGATCGTAGGGTTGAGCCAGGCCCCTTAAGGTTTAAGGCGACTCTTCGGCAGGGTGGGGGGGAGGGGGGAGGTGGGGTGGGGGGAGGTGGGGTGGGGGGAGGTGGGGTGGGGGGAGGTGGGGTGGGGGGAGGGGGGGAAGGGGGGTGGGGGGGGGGGGGGGGGGGGGGGGTAGGGGGGGAACATCCCAACATCAGTCTTTCAAGGCTTCTTTGAGACACCTCTGGCAGGACACGTTATTTGCTGATAAGGCAACGGGCAATAAACTGTACTATCATGGGCTCATTTTTGGGATGTCCCCCCTGATACTACCAGTCCTGAATAGGGATTGTAGTACGCTATTAAGGATTGTTTGTTTCAGGAGGAGCATCCTAAGCTCAATACCTTACCCTAAGGGTCCATGTACCTCATTCTCATATACTTAGACCCAAAAGTCCTTATATAGGAAGAACTTTAAGGCCCAAGCATTCCATAATTAGGTACATGGACCCTTAGGGTTAAACTGTAAACCCCGAAGCGCTGCTAGCAAGAAACTTGACAAGCCAGTCACATCAGGTGCATGAACGCGACGGTGAAGGCGGACGAATGCCACGTGGAACCGGGTCTTCGTTCAGATAACCCTAAACCATAAACCCTGAATCCTAAACCCTAAACCCTAAACCCTAAACCCTAAACCCTAAACCCTAAACCCTAAACCCTAAACCCTAAACCCCAATCATACGTCGTATGATTTCTGAAGTCCCCAACCCTCATGGGGCTTGATATAATTCAAGCTATAATGGTTCTGGTCTTGCCGTGGCAAAGTGCTAGCCTCAACCGATATCCTAAGGGTCTAGGCATTTGAAGGCACTTGATATAGGCAAATTTCGTGGACAACAAAAGCTCTGGATGCAGGCAAACATGTTTCTATTTTTTTCTGGGGGGGGGGGGGGGGGGGGGGGAGAGGCTTAGGGTTAATTAGTAGGTATCCCTTAATCCAAAACCCTAAACTTTAAACCCTATTTACGGAAAGGGGACGGGGGTTTGTAAAGGGCCAACCTAACCCTTTGCCATAGTGGGGTAACATTTTACATTTTTAAGGGTACTTAAACTCAATAAGGAATAAAATTTAGATTTTTTATTACTACCCCAACAATGAACCAGAACCCCCTCAAAGCCGCAAGGAGCGGATCGTGGTCGGAGCAGCTGCACGAGGCAAAGGTCTCGGCGCCTGGCCCGAAACTACGTGTTTTTTTGACTCTTAATAACCCCTAATCTTGGGTTTAGGGTTTAGGGTTTTATCCATAATTTCTAATTTGGGATGTTCCCCCTTATACTAACAGTCCTTAATCGGGATTGACATACCCTCATCATTAATCCCGATTAAGGACTGTTAGTACAAGGGGGAACATCCCAATACATAGTTTTTGAATTCTTAGTAACCCCTAGTCCTTGTATAATCTTTGTAATAATATTTTATGGGGCACCCACACCTGCCCTAGGAGGGTTTAGGGTTTAGGGTTTAGGGTTTAGGGGTGCGCTTGTCAGGTTCAGTTTGGGAGAAAGGGGAGTTACTGAAATTTAATGTTTGTTAGTGCCGAATGCCCAAACGCAGTTTTGCTGTCAGGGTGGCCACATTCCCACATCCCTCAACGGAGACTTTACTGAACTCTCGAAATCGTCCTCCCCGATACATTTTCAAACACGAGCACATGGGCAGGGACAGGCGCCATGTGCCCCAAACCCGAAACCCGAAAACTCAGGCAGGCCCCATAAGTTAGCAAGGCACCGCGCCCCATTCCCAGGCACCAAGCTTCTCAACTGGGCGGAAGATCGCGCCCGAGAACGGGGCTGCAAGACGATGTTCTTAGAGGCCCACATGACATCCAGTGAAGAAAGGGCGGGAATTCTGGGATGTAGTGATGTAGGGGTACCCTAAACCCTAAATTCAAGACCGTAAACTAGGCCCACATTGAAGTGGAAGAGCCCCAGGTGTCATAACCGGGCCGTCAGGGCTTCGTCAGGTTTCCAGAGCTGTCTGTCACCTGGGTCAGTTGTCTGCCCGTGAGACCAACCGATGACAGGGTTTCGAGTTTAGGGTGACAGGTCGTCAGCGGTTTAGGGTTTAGGGTTTAGGGTTTAGGGTTTAGGGTTTAGGGTTTAGGGTTTAGGGTTTCGGATGACAGGTAGTCAGTGGCAACCCGGCCAAGAAGCTGTACGAGAAGCATGGCTACGTCACCGCGACCAGCAATTTCGGGAGTGGCCCGGCCATGGCTTTCGTTCCAACTGAGGGTTTAGGGTTTAGGGTTTAGGGTTTAGGGTTTAGGGTTTAGGGTTTAGGGTTTAGGGTTTAGGGTTTAGGGTTTAGGGTTTAGGGTTTAGGGTTTAGGGTTTAGGGTTTAGGGTTTAGGGTTTAGGGTTTAGGCTAAACCCTAAACCCTAAACCCTAAGCCGCAAATCCTGCACTCCAAGCCCCCGACTGCCAGTTCCCCAAGTCTTGGGCTACGAAGCTTGTTGTTTTGGGTTTAGGGTTTAGGACGTTTAGGTTTAGGGTTTGCACCCACCCCCCGCCCCACCCACCCCCCCCCCCCCCCCCCCCCCCCCCCCCCCGCCACGCCCGACCCACCCACCCCCCTCGCCCCAGTCCCAGAACTCCCGACTCAAACCTTCCCGATGGAGTTGGTTAAAGTCTCTGACAACAAAGGGTTCGGAGCTTAGGGTTTGGGGTTTAGGGTTTCGGGTTTAGGGTTCGGGGGTTCAGGCGCTCCGCGCCTAGGGTTTGGACGTTTAGGGTCTAGGGCCAAGGGCTTCGGCTTAGGTGGCCCTGAGCCAAGGATGTATGATGTGCCCACTGACCTTCTGCGTCCTGGGCCACGTCTACGCCGACACCATGCGGAAGCCTCTTTCTTGAAGCGAGTTCTTCGCCTGCTTCCTGAGCCGTGAAGCTCCACACCCCGAAGCCTCCCAGACAGAAATGTGTGGGTCCATGTGGGCTCTAGCGTGCCATATCCTAGCTGCTAGGCCTGCAGGGTCTGGACTTTATTTAGATATAGAGTACGTAGCCTTAAACCCCAACCCCCCCCCCCCCCCCCCCCCCCCCCCCCCCCCCCCCGCGAATTGCACGCTCAGCCCAACAACCCTGAATCCTAAGCCTTAGTGAAACTTGATCCTAGACTTTCAGTACCCTAAACCCTAAACCCTAAACCCTAAACCCTAATCCCTAAACCCTAAACCCTAAACCGTAAACCCTAAACCCTAAACCCTCAGCCCTTGCTTTCGTCCCAAGACCGCTCTCCGAAGGAGAGCACGTCGATTCCGCGGGAAACTCCGCCAAGCACCGCTGCGACACTAGCACCTCGAGTGTAGGATGTTGGGTTTAGGGTTTAGGGTTTAGGGTTTAGGGTTTAGGGTTTAGGGTTTAGGGTTTAGGGTTAAGGGTTTAGGGCCACAGGGAGTTGGGCCCCAGGATTTAAGGTGCAATTACAAGATTTCCGGTGTGGGGTTTGGGTCTTCGGGACGAGTGTAGGCAGCCTCGAACTTCATCCTTACAGGGTGTCAACGTCTGGGTTGAACTCATACCCAAAGATACTTCAGGGGCTTAAGGTTTCTAGGACCGGGAGTAGGCCCTTTTTTCCTCCAAACCCAACCTTAAACCCTAAATTTTGAACCCTAAACCCTAGCCCTAAAACCCTAAAACCCTAAACCCTGAACCCTAACCCCTAATCCCCAAACCCACGGAAACCCTACCGAAGCCCCAGACCATAAACCCTCCGACTCGAACCTCCAAATTTGGGGGTCTACGGAAATATTGGGCCCCCCAATATCGTCCCCCCCGCATAGTAGGATTCCCTGAAAATAAGGACTGCCCTTAAAGTCGGAAACCCCCCAAGAATTCGACCCCTAAACCCTAAACCCTAAAACCTAGACCCTAAACCCTAAACCCTAAACCCTAAACCCTAAACCCCGACCTAGCACCCTAAACAGCGCGCGCTGAAGAAGCAGCGGGGTTTTTCTGCAGAAGGCTTCTGAACCCCGAAAGCCGACGCCTCTTTGGACGTTGGGTTGGTATTGATTGAAGGTGCTAAGTGGGTTTAGAACTGGGGTTTACTTAAGGTTTAGGGTTTAGGGTTTAGGGTTTACGGCTAGGGTTTCACGGGTAGGGCGGTGGGGCTTGGTCCAGGTATGGGGTAAAGGTAAGCAGAGCTGCGGAAATTTCGGAGACCGGCACATTGGTGCTTTCTATCAGCCGGAATTTAAGCTTGCCGAACTAAACCCTGAACCCTTAACCCTACTTCTGTCATGAAATCGCTGTATAGTTCGACTGCCCAAACTATTGGACCCCGTGGATAAGGGTTCCAAAATTCCCTTAAACCCTAAACCCGAACTAAGCCCTAATTGAACCCTAAGTCCAGACATGTTTGAAAACTCATGGTAGGCAGTTGCATCTTCCACCTTGGTGGTCAGGTGGTCTGTAAGTGGTCCTCCCAACGACAGTTGCCTCATTGCGAACGAGGGCTTCTAAGTGCTGATGTAGATTTGCTCGAACCTACAATCCCTGCGTCCGAAACTCTCTGAAGTTTTCAGGCTTCTGGGTCGGGAGGTTTCTCGCCGAGCTTGTGACGATGACTTCGTGCGCAAACTCGCGCACTTGCGCAGACATGGGTGCAGACCCTGTCAGGCAACTGGAAAAGTCCGCTCTCCGCTTTTGGTGCCACAAGGCTTTCAGAGAAGCTCCGGAATCCCAAGCCCAAGTCCTGAATCCTGCAATAAACCCTAAGCTTTGTACCGAGCTGGTTCACAACCCATCATGGAGGTCCCTGCGTAACACACAGACACCCAAAGGTAGATGGGTAACCACTTGTCACTTCTGGCGATCGGCGAAGCACCCGCGGCTTCAAAATGCCGCATCGGGCCCAAAAGGTGTGGTTGCGGGGTCCCTCAAGCCCTAAACCCTGAACCCTAAACCCCCTCCAGTAATTGTCCTCCCTGAGCCCGAAATGTCTTGGTTCGTGGCCCAAACAAGGCCCCAGGAAACCCAAGTCAGGGAACGTTTTCCAAGCCCCAAAGACGCGAAAAGTTTCCCACCCTAAACCCACAACCCCAAAACCCAAAACCCTAAACCCTAAACCCTAAACCCTAAACCCACAACCCCAAAACCCTGTAAGGGTTTTAAATTCCTTCAGCCCCAGAATCCGAGCTCTCCGATAGTGCCAGGGGTTTAGGACAAACCAGCAGGGTTTTTAGGCTGTTTGGGTCTTCAAGGGCTTTCAAAGGTTTAGGGCTTCGCCCTGTTTAGGGTACATCACGCAAGAGTATGTGGCTGAGCGTTGAGTAGTCCATGTTTCCAGATGTTTCAAGATGATTCAAAATTGCGTGCACCAGCCTCAGTCCACGCTTAAAAAACACACTTGGGTCTTAAGGTTCAGGTCTTCGGGCTTTGCCCCGTCAGCAAAGGTTTGGCCATGATGTGACGCATCGCTTCCTGGAGGACGCTGGTCTAGCTCTGTGCCTGCCCGGAAGCCCATCTCAGGGCTTCCATGCCAGCCCACTGTCTTACTGGTTCTTAGGGACCCTGAACCCTAAACCCTAAACCCCTAAACCCTAAAGATTCGATAGCCTGTATAATCCCTCAAAGAGTTCTTTCGGGGGATAAGATCTTGCCAGACTTCAGGGCGTCTTGGAGGTGAGGGTTATAGGGTTCTACAGATATAGGGATTTGTAGGGTACAGGGTTACAGGGTTTAGGGTTTGGGGCTTACTTGGAGGTTCATGGGTACTTAGAACCCCACTTAGAAGTCTACTTAAAACCTACTTAGGGGTCTTAGGGGGTTTCATATGCACAGGTATAATTGGGGTTAGAAGTGCCCATGAACCTCCAAGTAGGGTACCGTATACCCCCTACGTGACGGAGGAGATTATACAGGGCATTCCCGAATTCCTTACTAGGAACCAGTAAGCACATGCACCAATCAAGCACCTAGCCTAGCTTTTTCATTTTGGGGAGGGTCTTGTTTTTGGGGTTGAGAGTTTGGGGCTCAAGGTTAAGTGCTCCAAGCCCCCAAGAGCGGCCCTTCCATCAACATGCCGTCATTCAGCCGGAAGACTTAAGTGTCGGAATGGTTAAGATCCAGACCCTAAATGCCACGGGCTGCAGCTTTGCCCCAAACCCCAAAGCCTGAACCCCACAACCCTAAGCCCCCATCCCTAACTCCGGAATCCGAATCCCGAAAGCCCAACTTCTGATTCCCAAGCCCGGAACCCTTGTACCCTAACCCCACAGCTAGGGCTACTTGGAAGTTCATGGGTACTAAGAACCGCAATTGCAAATCTGCTTAGAACCTACTTGGGGGACTTCGGGGGCTTGTAGGTGAAGTTATAATTGGGATTATAAGTACCCTGAACCTCCAAGTAGAGGTGGCTTAGGTTTCAGGGTTTAGGGTTCAGGGTTCAGGGTTCAGGGTTTAGGGTTTAGGGTTTAGGGTTTAGGATCTCCGTCCTCCTTAGGCGGTCACACCGCGTGCCGCAGCATGGTTGGGAACCCATGGCCCAAGCACTTGATTGTCGGGTTTAGGGTTTAGGGTTTGGGGTTTAGGGTTTAGGGTTTAGGTTTGAGGGGTTTGAATAGGGTTGCGGCTTACAAAAGGTTGTATATTTCAGGGTGCTCATGGGGCTTCCGGGGGTTAGGGTTGTAGGGTTGAGAGGTTAGGGCTCAAGGGTTTAGGCTTATGGGGTTCTAGTGCGTATAATAGGATTCATAGGGTCTAGGGCATACAGGGCTCGTAGGGCTTAGGGTTTCCTGAGGTCTGCGGTACCCTTTGTCCCATTCTTTCGGGTTAGGTTCCCTCGTAACCCATTCTAGGCACCCTGAAGGCCCTAAACCGCTAACTGCCGATGTACCCAGATCCAGGTATCGTAATATGGGGGTTTACGAAAATAAGGGACCCCGAATATAGTCGCCCCAAAATAGTAGGATTCCCATATCATAAGGACCCTAATTTCGGAAACCTCCGTAGAGGGCCCATCTGATTTGCATACGTAGCCTATTGTAAGTACAGAGTATAGGGGTCGGAGTAATTGCGAATAGTATTCCCTTATGGTCCGTTGATAAATGTACTGCAATGGCCCCCAAAACCCTACTCTAATGATTAAGGCCCCTATATTAGGGAGTACGGAACGATGGAGGCAAGATCTGTTCAGGATCTTGCTTGGGCCCTTGGCAAGGATTTGTCTCATCGCGCCATTAGGAACCCAGGCCTCAGCTGCTTCTGGTTTAGGGTTTAGGGTTTGGGGTTTAGGGTTTTGGGGTTTAGGGTCTTGGTTTTAGGGTTTAGGCTACCTGGGTAGGGTTCAGGGTAGAGGGTTTGGGGTTTAGGGAGACCGATGGTGCATCCTGAGCCCCCTGAACCCGGTGGCAACTCCGCGCTTGGCCCAACTACCGCAATCTGGCGCTACAGGGTGGGGCCCCCTTACTATACTAACCGTAGTTAAGGGACTTGTAACCTAACTTAGGGTCCTTATAACCCAATTTAGGGCCCTTATAACTCTACTTATAACTAGGGGGCCCCACCCTGTAGCATGCCATGAACCTCAACCCTCTGGTGTTGGTTCTTGTTTCTCAAAAGGTTTTGGAGATGGGTTGCGATGGGGTCGAGAGGGCCCTTGTGTTTAGGGGGATTCAGGGCTAAGATGCTGGACTGGTTCGGGGATCTGTCACGGACCATGTCTGCCACGGCCCTGCGTGATGATCCGTGCTGGCTCATGCAGGAGGGACTTATATAGGTTGAAGGCTTAAGGACTGTATGGCGATGGGGTTTAGGGTTAAGGAATTCACAAGAAGTATTGGCTTACTTTGGACTACTCAGCCTGCAGCCGCAACAGCACTTGAAGCAAAGCCCAGCCCTAACCCTAAACC